TGTGTGTGTGTGTGTGTTTGTGTGTGTACTGCTAGTATGTGTGTGTCTGTATGTTTCTGTGTGTATGTGAGTTTCGTCAATTGCGTTTCCTTGTAAAATGTCCCTTCTTCTGAGAGCGATTTAATTTATCTTTCTTCTTTCCGCCTTCCTTCCTTCACTCGAAGTCATGCACTCAACGTCTCATTTATTCTGAAAACCAATTCATTTTTTTCTCTCTCTCTCTCCCTCCGCGCCAAATATCTTTCTCTCTCTCTCTCTCTCTCTCTCTCTCTCTCTCTCTCTCTCTCTCTCTCTCTCTCTCTTCTTCTTCTTCTTCTTCTTCTTCTTCCTCCTCCTCCTCTTCCTCCTTTCTTCTTTAAGTGAACATCCCAGTCTCTGGTGCTGTTTACCAGAGGTCCTCCAGACTAATGTAGAGTTCTTGATTTCCTAGGGTTGGGCCAACAGTTCCTCCCAAGTGTTTCATGCCTTGGGCAGGCTTTTAATACGTCATTTGCCGTTTGTCTGCCAGTTCCCATGTGGACACTGCTCTGAGTTGCCGATCCTAAACTTTGTGTACAGATTGTGTGTTAGGCGGTTCCGAATCTGATTAAAGCCGAGGCAGGGACTTGTTTTTGAGTAAGCTTACCTCGACTTCTCTGGCATAATCTGTGGAAAGACCCTCGGCGACATTTTGGAGAGAGCAACGGAGCGTCAATGGACATGTCAGAATGCAGGGATGTTGCTTCCGTGAACAGTGACTTCTCTGGATATTTTGAATAACTGAAAATCTTTTCTGCACTTGTTCCGAATTTAATATTTCACTATGCTTTTTTTCCTTTTGCAACTTGGCCCGTTGCACACAGTAACTTTTACCATGCGGAAACCAGTTGTATGCTAGAAGTACAGCCTAAAATTCACACTCTAAAGGTTTTTTTTTGGGTATGTTCAGTGATGTAGGTGGTTGTATTATCTCCAAATGCCTATGCTAACTTTCCTCCAAAAGTAAAAAAAAAAGAAATGACCAAGTAAACATGTGGAAAACAAACGTACTTTTTGAAGCATGTTTTCCCTCTCTGGGACTGTTCTGCTGCTGTTTCAGACGCAATGATAACTCTATATTCGAGGAGCTCTCCGTACAAGGCACAGACATGATCGCTGAGGTCGACTTTGGCGCGGACATCACAGGTAAGCTTGTTCAATTCACACGATTTTCTCAACCTTTTCCGTTTTGTATGCGAAGAACAAAAGTTCACTCTAATCTGTGATACTTTTGCATGTACGTGCACATTTGAGTAACACTTCTAGCTCCCTGACGGTTGGACAGACAAACTGATATATTTGTATTTTATGGTTCATATACTTTTCGCAGGGTCATATATATATATATTTATGAAGGAGTTGTTTACTAATCGCCAGTCTTGAAGGTGTATTTTATGTTTCGTTTTCGTCTTTGAGTCTGATTCTAAATATCTCTTTCAGTTATTCCGTCATACTGCCCAGTTACGTTGCAGTGTCTTATGAGTAATGCTGATAAAAGGTTTCTAGAAAAGCATCGCTCTAACCTTCTCTCTTGCTTGATAAAGTTAAAAAAACAATTCTCAGCGGCTTGTCCTGGGCAGGGCTGGCTGACCTCAGTGGATCCTTCTTTCTATCCATCATGCCGGGTACTCTGTTAACTGCGACCTGCTGTGGTTCTTGATCTTTCTTTCTCATCTACCAAAACTTAGTGTGCTAAGTTTTGTAGTGCAGATATTCTCACGAGCTTGTTCATGCAGTCTACTTTGGTTCCTTCCACTGTTCTTGACCTTCCTTGCCTTAATTGCAAATAGTTTCAAATTATAATGTGCTGACATGCATTTCATCATGATGCGAAACCTTACTCAGTCTCGGTCTGCTCAGTTTAGTCTCTTAATAATTAGCAAGATTCGGGTTTGTTGCTCTTGTATCTTTTGCTTTTGTATCTTTCGCTTTGGTAGTCTCCTCACTAAGATAGATACCAGGATGCCTTTTTGTTTTCTCTTCTATCGAACAACTCAGTAGGAACTACTGGTGATTTCAGTAGTAGGGGACTTTCATTTTGCTTTACTAACTCTCAACACTTTGCAATTGTATAGTAGTCTGTAGCTTTTATTTTTCCTTTTTTTATTTTCATTTTTATCAAAAAGACAGCACTGAAAATGTATATATTATGATTTATTGAGGGAATATAGATATATTATTTGTACTGTGGTCTCCACCTAACATCCTGTTATCCGAGGTTGCCGTACATGCTACTTTTTGTGATACGTAATATTTTGTATATTTAAACTTCCCCCTTGAGGTGTCTTTTTTTTCATATGACTGTGGTTGTGTTTGTGATCATAAGATAGTTCAGGAGGTAGACAGGGTTAGAGTTCCATTTGTCTCTTAAACCACCTGAGCTTTTGTTCTGCCTGACACGTTTGGCTCATAGTGGTTGGGCGCTATCCTGACACACACAGGAGACCCTGAGTTCGATTCCTGAGTGGGGAGAATTTGTATTGCCATGAGTACACCTATGCCTTTCTGCTTGGATGTCGTGGTTCCTCTCTCAGCCCAGGTTTGGTTCCCGACAGGCAGGGTCGTAGGCTGGCCTCCTAAATAATTTAAACCGTGTTGATGGGGGTGTAAAAACGCCTATCTTTGAAATGAGAAATACGTTGCGTTTTTTAAAAACTTTTAGATGAGATGGTTTATGGCTTGTTCTTCTGGAATGTTCAGACCTATATTTGAGGAGCTGGTCGGGTTAGTTGCTGCTCGCTCTTTCTTGGGTCTGGTTGGGGTCACTGGTAATGGTGAACGAGAAGAAAGATGATGTGGGTAGATTTCCGAGGGAGGGCTGATGACAAGTGCGTCTTGATCTATGGTTGTTTTTCTTTAATTATGGAATTGTTCTAACGACCTGTACACCTTCCGTCTCTTGTTTTTCCTCATTCCCGAGCACCGGGATCTTAGGCGGAGACCACTGTACTGTATACATATAGACATACATATATATACATTTTAAAAAAAAATATTTTAGTGTGAGCACAATATTCTTTTCCATATTATTATTGATGATAACCATATATACGGGACTTATCATTTTTTATCATTCTTATACGTTCATGAGGTTCAGTTCCCTTTTCTGTTCGGTTCCTTTGGTGTCTTGGGTTTGGCTGTTTAATTCCCCTCCCCCCCTAATGTAAATGCTTGATAATGCCTTTGCTGAAGCTGCTGTTCCTAAATGTTACTTTAGGCCGGCAAGTAAATCCCGGGGATTATGCGTCGACAGGTAACAGATTTTCACACCCAGTTCTCTCGTTTATCTCTTTGTGTATTGATGTCAAGGTGTTGAGATTACGGCTTCTGTTTTTGCCTGTAGTCTTTCTCTTCTCTCTGTGTATGTGTCATATATATTTTACGTGTGTGTTACATACATATATATATATATATATGTGTATACAGATATATAAGTGTGTGTGTATGTGTGTGTAGAAATAAGTACAACGTTGTGTGTACTAAGACATTTCACTGGAACCTTTTCACAATCTTCTGTGTAGAGGAGTTCATGTTCTTGTTACTCAGTATGTATATTTTTTCCCCCTTTGTTTCCTTGACTTCTTTGGGTTTTTTAGGGGTGTTTTTGGCTGTTGCTTTGCTGTATGTGTTCAGGAGTTTTGGTTGGTGTTTTTTTGTTTTTTTTTTAATTCTTTTTTTGTTTTGTTTTTGGAAAATGGTTGTGTGGAGCTTGTGTGATCTGCACTGCCTTTTTCTATGTTTGGTGCTATTGGGAGATGAGGGTGTATCTGTGGTTAGGAAGAGAGAATGAGTTTGCGTAGGAATAGAGTGGGCTATGTTTAGCGGCTAATGATGCGGCTCGGCTGTTGGTGTGTGGAAGCTTAGTGGGTGCTGAATTAGTGGGGCTGGTGGTGAGGGCATCGTTCGTCTCTGTCACTGCAGGTAGGGACTATGTGAGTTATTGATTAGTGGTAGGGAGGAGAGGAGAGAAAAACATGGGATGGAAAGTTTGATGGGTCTCTTTGCTTTTTAAAATCTTGCCCATGACGTTTTTTGTTTAGACATGCCAAATTACTAATGGGGTAGTGCTCGGAGTAATATTAGCTTTGTTGGTTCCCTATTTGACTCATGATATACAAAGGGTGCTAGTTAAAATCATCCTAAATGGAGGTTCTAGAAGTTTGGTTATTTTGTGTAGGTTTCATGGGTCTTTGTCCCACTTCATTTGACGCTGTTGGAGACAAGACATTAAATTGGAAGTCTTGCTGTTGAATTGGATGTTGTACCTCATAAACGACAACACCTTGTGGAAAAGGGGTGTTAAACCCACAATATGACACAACTATCTTGGGTCGGGCTGTGAAAGAGTTAACTTTGATTTTCACGCAGTTTTTTGCCGTATATACTTTTTTCTTTCTTACTATGGACTTTAGGAGATTGCACGAGTTTGAGAAATATTTTTTTAATTGTTAGGAACACTTTTGATGAGCAGTTTGTTCAATAAGTGGTTAGAGTAAGATTGTGTGAAATTTAATAACTGTGACAGAGACACGAGGGGGTCTGGGTTCGCATAGTATCGTGTAGCACAGTAGCCTCTGTTGTCTGCCTGCACGTAGAAGCATGAGGCATGGGGTTCGGTGTCTGCCGAACGGGCATCGTGACCATTGGGATGTCTCGGGGACGATGTCTATAGCGATGGTTACAGTGTCTCCCTCCGCACCGGGCATGATTGGACTCGTCTCGTTTCGTTCTTTCCTTCTCCCAACTTTTTTTCTTTCTTCTTGCATGCCACTTTCGGTCTCTGTACCTGTCACCCTGGGATAGGGGTTCTTGGTCAAACTGTCGTTAGGACTGAGTGGGGGTGAAGGTAATTGCTTTGAAATTTAAGAGAGACTGTCCTGCTGCTTTTTTTGTGTAAGGAAATGTTCTGTTTGACGTTAGGGACGGGGGTATAAAGACCTCGCAATTTCTAGTTGTTCAGGGATGATGAATACATTTCTCAGTTAGTCTCAGGGATGATGAATATATTTCTCAGTTAGTCTCAGGGATGATAAATACATTTCTCAGTTAGTCTCAGGGATGATGAATACATTTCTCAGTTAGTCTCAGGGATGATGAATACATTTCTCAGTTAGTCTCAGGGATGATAAATACATTTCTCAGTTAGTCTCAGGGATGATAAATACATTTCTCAGTTAGTCTCAGGGATGATAAATACATTTCTCAGTTAGTCTCAGGGATAATGAATACATTTCTCAGTTAGTCTCAGGGATGATAAATACATTTCTCAGTTAGTCTCAGGGATGATAAATACATTTCTCAGTTAGTCTCAGGGATGATGAATACATTTCTCAGTTAGTCTCAGGGATAATGAATACTTTTCTCAGTTAGTCTCAGGGATGATAAATACATTCCTCATTTAGTCTCAGGGATGATAAATACATTTCTCAGTTAGTCTCAGGGATAATGAATACTTTTCTCAGTTAGTCTCAGGGATGATAAATATATTTCTCAGTTAGTCTCAGGGATAATAAATACTTTTCTCAGTTAGTCTCAGGGATGATAAATATATTTCTCAGTTAGTCTCAGGGCTGATAATGAAAACATTTCTCAGTCTCAGGGATAATAATAAATACATTTCTCAGTTAGTCTCAGGGATAATGGATATATTTCTCAGTTAGTCTTGTTACATTTGTTATTAACCAACATTGGCCTTTGGGATCACTGTAAACAGTCTACTAAACTGTTGACAACCACCCTCTTATTTCTCAGTCTTAAGTAACAATGGTGCTGGATTGTAATATGAGTCATACAATTTTATAAAATGTGATACGGATGTGCCCAGCCTGGTGGTTATAGTTTCGTAATATGTTTTACATTTTACTTGGTGTGGGACGATTCATTCATAAGGGCCTATTTTGCTGTAAGCAAATTGATACAACAAAGACTTTCAACACTGCAATGTTCTGAGCTTCACAGGCTTGTTTCTTTTTGCTCTTCATGGGCACTTTCTAAATTGGCAGGGTGTTGTAGATTTTCTACTTTTCATTGTTGAAGATATCTGTCATAAGTAAACTCTTAACTAAATCTCAAACTATTTTTTCTTTGGTATCTCATTTTCGTTTCTTTGACCGAAGTCATGTTTTGTCTGTCTACAAACTATACGTGTGTACAGTATGTAAATAAATACACTGTTTGCTTTGTCATTTTCTTCATGAAAACTTTGGTGACTGGGTGTATATACGTTTTAACAGAGTGTGGAAATGAACAGCTGCGCATGAATAAATGAATCATATAGGTGGACATGTTGTGGAGGTGTAGGGCAGGGAGATCAGTACTTGGTGTGTTAGATTTCTGCTTCTGCTGAGTGTGAGTAGCAGGCCGTGCTTGGAGATGGATTCGAATTAGAATCATCAAAGTTCTGTCTAAAGAACAGTAGAGAGTAATATTAATAAGTTTATGTGATAACTTGACATTTAGAGGTATGTTGACTATTTTATTTGTTTAGGGAAAGTCCTTTCCCAAATCATACAAGGCTACTGGAAATTTCTTGCTGTGGGAGGTAGTATTATTTGCGTACCTGAATAGCAGTACTTCACGCCCTTGATTCCTCGCCATGTGTTAGAAATATTGATTATGATAGTAATACTAATAGATTGCATTTAGAGGAATGTATCCCATGTCCCTGTTTAAAAGAAGGCTCTGTGCATGTTCTTCACAATGCTAGCGTAGTGTGATATTGACTTAGGAACGTTACTGTACTGTAGGAAGTGAATGTGAGATCTTAAATCTTCCCTAACTAAATGTGGATGACACCCCCCCCCCCCCAAAAAAAAAAAAAATATAATAATAATAGTGTCACTTGCGGGAGAGATGCCATTTCTGGAAAGTTCAGGTCACAGAGTTTGAAGTCCATGAGAACTGTTTAAAGAAATACAGGATTGGATGGGTAATTTTAAAGTGAGAACACAGCAAGGGGGCTCATTTTGGTAAACGGTTAAAATTAATGGACAGATTGATGGAATTTCTTGTACGGTTTCTGACTTTGGCCCGAGATATAGCTTTTTAAAAAAATGTTTAATTAAAGATAAAATCTGACAGGCTTGTTGATGGCTTTGCACGCAAAGCACAAAATCATTTATTTGTCAACGTTTATTGCTTTCTAGAAAGGCTCTTAGAGTTGCAGCTTTAAGCTGGTTTAATGTTGTATATAACGAGGGCGTGATCAATAGCTATTCAGTGTCGTCACATCAGAAGCTTTGCAAATTTTTTAACACAATTATTTTTTATAAGCTGTGCGCACTTTGGCTTCAGCGTAAATTTCATTATTCTGGAAACTCAATGTGCAATGAGATTTGTTTTATTGGACCAAAGGATTCCTTTTCTCTTTTCTTGCTTGTGGACACAGGAGTCATTAATGTTTGAGAAATTATATTTCCTTGAAAGAATAAAGGAATAAAAGGATAAGTGTCTTTGAATGAGTAATATCAATGAACAGTTTCAATTTGTAATGTCTTCCGGTTATAAATTTAACTAAAGTAGATTGTAATTCAAACAGTTCTTTGCTTTCAAGAAATCCAGGGAATGTGAACCCTTGGTTATGCTTCAGAATGATAACTATGAGAAAGAAGTGGTTTGATCAGTCAGCGACCAAGGTTTTAGGTTTGTCTAACACTCTATGTTCTTTTTTGTCCCATTGTAGGTTAATAATAATTGCATTTCATGTGGTCAGATTGTTCAAAGATACCCTAAGACCAATTCTGGTAGTCTTGTATTTGGTCAGCTCAATTTAGATAGATTTATACTGTGGCTATAATTTTTTTGTGTGAATGAAGGGCTTTCCTGTGCACTCAGGAACATCTTCACCCGATGCCTCTTTTTCCAAGCACCACACGTTGGGCTATTTCTATTTTGTTTTTTGAAAATACTGTTTTCTGAGGGCAGTTTCTTTTCTTACAGAGAGGCTTGCTCTGTTACACTTTGAGATTACTTCTGTTGGGTCTTCTTTTTTTCCTCCTTTCTCTTCTTGAGCCTGCTGTTTCATATATAAAATACTTAAGCTGATGCTGCAGGGACCTTGTGTGCCAAGAATAGTAAAGGGTTGATATAATGAAGGACAGTCTGCTATGAAACCAAAGTTTCTTTAAAAAATATCTGTATCCAGTAAACATGTCTTTATTAGACGAATCTTATGAAAGAAATTCCATGGTAAGAAGTAATGCCTTAAGTATTTGTCATTTTAGGAGAGCTTTCCTATCTGATTTAGAGTTCTTAAACAATGAAGCAGACATCAACTACTTCATACTGTTGTATGGGATTCTGAGCTTTTATTACAGCCTTTTGAGGTACGATAGTTTTGGTAGGCATGATATTGTGATTGCTGTATCCAACAATGTTTTGTGATTCTAGAAACGTCTTGATGAGTTTCAGTGATTACATTTTTGATTGATTGTTTACCTACGAAATATATATTGATGACATCACTTTTGTACGAGGGACACATCATGTAATTTGGTGTTCTCCTTCCTTGGTGATGGCCACAAAAAAATCAAAGGAAAGTTTAGCTTCTACTGTCATTTTCTCTTTGGCAAGGGTCTGTATGATTTGGGGAGCTTCATTCTATCGTTTAAAGCATGACCTGATATTTTTGAGAATGTTTGTCCAGGACTTCAGAGGGACAGAAGGGCTCCTGGAGTTGTTTCCAAACATTGAAGATGGAGTTTATAAAACTGTTTGTTTATTTTGTCTGTGGAGGGATGTTTGTTTAAACTTGTAACAGAATTGGTTGATATTGTTTGTCTGTATAGAAGCGGAGTTTTTAAAAGAAGGAATTTCCCTTGCAAAGATTGAACTCGCCCACGAGCAAGATATTGCACACAAGGAAAAGATGTGGGTATAGATATTGTTAGATAAATGGAAATGTTTTCTGTTTGAAGAAAAATCACAAAATAGAGCCGAGGTCGGGGGGGGGGGGGGGGGGGGGGAGCACATTTTCATGTGGAAAATGCTGAGAAAAAGAAAGATTCGGTAGACCTTAAATAAACCATAGTTTTGTGAAAAGGTTGTTTTTCTTTTGAAGTAGCAAGAGGAATAAAACTGAAAAAACAATTTTCTGTAGTAGGGATGATTCAGCTGGTTAAAAGTTGTGATTACAGGATGTCCTCTATGTTGGTGTTACTTGGAGGGTGAGATAGTGGAAGTGAGGGGTGGGGGTGGAGGGAGAGCAGACTTTTATTTTTCACTTCAGGGAACAAAAGTTTTTGTGTGGTGGAAACTTTTGTCTTTTCTTTAGAACGGGCAAATTCTTCCGATACGTGACATATTAAATGTTTTGTTTGATAAGTGTATGTGCTGCTAAATGTTGTGCATCATTTTCCTTTTTATAACATCAGTGTTTGGTGTTGCATATTGCATTTAGCATGCTTGTTTAGTGCTGTTTTGCATTTGGTTTCTCACCCCACCAAGTTGGACTGTTTTGGACATGTTGGGTCCCCGTCTGACGATGTCATAGTATGATGACAGATTGGGTGGCTAGGGGTGTACTGTAGATAGAATGCAGTGAGAATTGATGCCAGGATTATGGAGTTCCTAATCACTACTACTACAAGATCCTAATGCCAGGGGTATTTTTTCGTATTTTAACTCAGACCCCCCCCCCCCCTTTGATTTTGAAGAATCTTATGTTCAGAATCTTTAAAAAGGTTCCGCCTTGGAGTTTCTCTCCCAGACAAATCACTGTGTACTCTGACCTGCAGGATAACTGTCCATAATGAGTCCTCAAATTATAAGACATTTACTGGGTCCACAAATAAGGCATTTTGCTTCAGCAAATAAGATGCTTTGCTTCAGCAGATAAGTGATTTACTTCCACGATTAAGGCATTTTGCTTCCACACATTAGAGATTTGTTGGCTTCCACCTACAAGAAATTTACTCCCACAAACAAGACATTTAGCCTAAATCCTGAATCTAGTAGTTATTTCTGTACCATTTGTAGACGTGGCAAATGTTTTGTCTGGGTTCAAGTGTAGACCAGAAAAAAATTGAGTACTCTTACAACTGATTAAATACTTTTTCAAATCGTCAGTGTCACTCAGGAATAAAGTTGTATTGTCTGCGTATTGTTTTATTTTTAGAGGTTCCTCTCCCCAAGTATGTGGCACTCTAAGACATTTTGCTTCAAATGAATCTTTGAACTTACTCCTGTCCCTTAAGTACGTGACATAATCGGACGTTTTACTTCCCCAAATAAGACACTTCTAGGTTTAGACTTTAGCACATAGTTGTGTCCCTTAAGTACATGACATAATTGGACATTTTACCTCCCCAAATAATACATTTTTAGGCTTAGACTTTAGCACATAGTCGTGTCCCTGAAATGACGTGACACAGTCCAGCTTGGTGGGAAGGGGTGAGCAGTGAACACGCCGACGGTGCCTCTCCTGCGTGGGCCGCTGCTGCTACGTGCTGCACACCCACCGCGCGCGTTCACCTGGTCATTGCCTTGCATTTTTTTTTTTTCGTTTACTCCTTCTTCTTCTTCGGTGTTCACCCTTGTTGTTGATGTCGCTGCATGTGAATGTTGTCATCTTGCAGATAGTGACGAGAACCCAGGGGAGGATGAGGGGGATGACGAAGACAAGGACAATGATAAAGATTCTGGTATGAGTCGTCTCAGTGGTGCATGTTCGCTGTCTGCTTCTGTGCTCCGCACCGTCAGTGTCGCCCTCTTTGTCTGTCTGTCTGTCTGTCCGTGTGTGTGTGTGTGTAGATAATAATACAAGAAACTCTGTTGAACAATTGTTCGTTTATTTTTTCTCCTTATGAGCATCTCGTTTTCAGGAAGTTTTTCGTTCTAGATTTGCTTTAAAAAATACTGTTTGAAAACTTGATTGATTGAGGTTTTCGTGGGAGTAAAGCGATTTATATGATTATTGCAGAAATTTTGTTTTAGCAAAAAGGTTTGTATCACTTCTGGTGAAACACTGATGCTCATAAAAGAATCCCTGTGTTATCAGTAGTTGAACACATGGCATAATATTGTAAAGTTACTGTTGCAAATTTTTTTGCAGTTTTCATCATATAGGTTGGATAAAATTTGTTTTTTGTCGTTGTTTTTCAATTACCTCTTAGTTTATTTTGTCATATTGCTGAATCATCTGTCAATTTTGGCAGGCATTTGAACAAATCTTTGTTTTTCTTTCAGAATAAGTTGCTTTCTAATTCATAAAAGTAAAAAGAATTTCCATTTCGTTTTTTTTTGTTATTAAGGGATCAAACCCATGGTCCGTTCTCTCAGTTACTTACACTTGTTCTTTTTGATGTAGATTTGTGTTGAGATTTGTGTACAAATCAAACTTCAGGTGAGAAGATTCCGCTGGTTGTTCTTCTATCCAGGAGCTGCTGCACAGCTTATTGTGTTACTTATCGGCAGCAGAATTTGCTTCTCAGCTTCTTCTATACGGCTATGCTTGTGGAAAATATTGAGCCATATTTGAAAGTATATTTTTTTTAAAAAGAAAAATACTCGTACAAACGGTTTAAGTGGAAAAAAAATCCATACCTGCTGCAGTATGTTTTAATTTGTTTATACTTAAGACACTTTTCAATTTGAAATAGAAGACGAGGAAAGATTCATTTATTGGATAGGATTTTGGGGTTTTTTTTTGGAATGTTATGACATGCCTGATATTTTGAATGGTTTTTTGATAGCTTGCATGTGTCAGGATGATTTTAACATACTAATGCTAGCTTTTCTCCTCCTTTTACATCATTTTTGGCCCGGTTCCCACATTCTGCATCATCGCGCATGTTTGTGCGTGTGTGGACTACAGTCGGGGATAATTTCTTTGGTAAGGAAAGGTTTGGACTTAGCTAGAGATTTGCATTTTTTCATGCGAGGTGCAGTGTATGTAATCTTTCTCTGATTCTTTTTATTCTTTGCCTCTCACTTGTTCTCTCTCTCTCTCTCTCTCTCTCTCTTTCTCTCTCTCTCTCTCTCTTATTTTCTCTCTTTTCATTTCTCTCTCCTCTTCTCTCCATCTCCACCCTCTCTTCTCTCCCTATCTCTAGTTTCTGTCTTTCCCTCTCTACTTTCTTCTGTCTCCTCTCCCCTTTCTGTCCCCCCCCCCCCCCCCCTCTGCTTTCTGTTCCTCTTCTGTCTTTTCTCTCTTGACCACCCTTTCTCTTTCGGAACCTCCTCTCCCTCCTTCTCCCCCCCCCCCCCCTCTCCCAGTAAAATTCTCTCAATGTGCCGGGGAAAAAAAAATGTTGTAGGCGGAAATTGGGACACTGCCTAAAGGTTCAGGCACACCACAATATGGGGGTCTCTGCTGATGGCAGCTATTGTTGTCCCTAAGGCTGAGTCCCACTGTTAGCTCAGTTGGTGTCAGGATGGGCTGGGGTGCTGGTGTCGTGCTGGCTTGGTTGTTTTGGAGGTGGTGTCTGTTTAGATGACTGATTTGCTCCATTCCTGAAGAATAGAATCTCTGTTACAGCAGTAGCGAGATAGGTGTTTTCGCTAGTCAAAGTGATTCCTAAGTATTCAATAAAATAGTTTTCTGTCGTAGCAGGATGCGTTAAAGAAAAATATGTCTTAAAAACCTTGAGAAAATGTGTTGGAAATCTTCATGTTAATTGTGCTTGTCGTTATAATTTGCTGAAAATGCTGGTAATTTATTTTTCACGGTTGTGGTGGAAATGCGAAGCGCCGGTTTGGTTTGTTTTTTTTTCCCTTGTTTTTTTTTTAGGTCTGTGCTCAGGTTGGTGTGCATTTGCAGTGCATGGGTTTTAGAGGCTTTTGTGGTTGAAACATTTGATGCGTTTTATTACTTGTTTTTTTTGTTTTGTTATGTTGAGAACGTGGATTGAGACATAATTGAAAGCTGCTCTGTTCACAGTGTGGAAGTTACAAATTGGGCATTTATTTTGTGCTGGATGAGAAAGGAAGATTTGAAATTGCGGAGCTGACCTGAAAATTAGTGGCTTTAAATAAGTGTGGATGGAGGAAATGTAGTTCTAAAGCATGCCATAGATATACAATTATTATTATATCATTATTATGATTCATTATTAGTGTTAATATTATTATTATTATTATTAAAACCCGGCCCCATATACCCATACTATGTCTTGTGGGTTGTTAGAAAGACGTTCTGATTGCTTGCAACACCTACCTTTTAATCTAGCAGTTCGAGTAGTTGGTTGTCTCTTGCCTTTTTCGTTCCCCCGTTGTGGGTGGTTGGTGGGTGCTCTGGTGTGGTTTGCTCCTTCTTTCCTATCACATATCTATCGTTCTGATCTCTCCTCCCTTTTTGTGTTTGTTACTCTGTTGCAACACCTCTAATCTTCAGCACTTAAATGACCTTATTGTGTTGCAAATGCCTTAAATCTCTTACTAAAACTAAAAGTTCCCCTCGTTATTGCTGTCGGAATCTATATCAGTGCCTGTTGCATATTAAAACACTCTCTTAGATTCGTATTTCCCATGGGGAAATGTTTTATTGCATTTCACATCTATGTCTGTCTGCTGGGATCTTGCATCCTTCTCGTCTTAGGCTGGCTAATGGTATATGGGTTGGAGTAGCCTTTTTCGTTAATGATGTAGAGTGTACTGATGGGGTTTTGGTCACTTGTTATGTGTGGGTGGTTGGCGGGTGCTGTGGTGTGGTTTGCTTCTTCTTTCCTATCAAACATCTATCATCCTTATCTCCCCTTCTTCTTTTTTATGTTTGTTACTCTCTTGTAACACCTGTAATCTTTTGGCGCTCATATGACCTTATGCAGTTGCGAGCGCTGTAAAACCTCTACTACTACTAAACTTGTTATGTCATTTACCTTGTCTTTGATTGGGTAACTATGGCTGCCGTCATAGTGGCTGCTGCTATAAATGGCAACAGGTGAAATATTCTGGACTTAAAAACATGTGGAGGAAAATAATTTTTTATTTAGCAGGTGTTGTGAGTTTTCAAAACCCTACTTTAGATGGACTATTCATGTATGGGTGGTTGACGGGTGCACTAGTATGGTTTGTTCCATCTCTCCTATCAATCAAATATCTATCGTCCTCATCCCTCCTCCGTCTTTCGTGTGTGTATTCTGTAGTAATATCTCAAACTTGGACACTTATATGACCTGATTGTTTTGATTGTTTTGCAAGCACCTTAAAATTTGTATGCAATCTGATATTTAAACTGGGTGGTTGGCGGGTGCTCTGGTGTGGTTTGCTCCTTCTTTCCTATCAAACATCTATCGTCCTTATCTCTCCTTTTTCGTTTTTATGTTTGTTACTCTCTTGTAACACCTCTAATCTTCTTGCGTTCATATGACCTTATGCAGTTTTGAGCGCTGTAAAACCTCTACTAAGACTTTAACATCTATTCAAACCATGATATGCCATTTTGTTATTCTAACACATATAAACACCGTCATTGTTGTTGTTTCAGGCATGGGCAAAGAGCTGGAGAATCTCATCCTGGAGAACACAGAGCTGCTGGCCACAAAGTGAGTCGTTGGCACACATGCAACACACTCTCACACACAGCACACTCTCACACACACCACACTCTCACACACAACACACTCTCACACACAGCACACTCTCACACACAACACACTCTCACACACAGCACACTCTCACACACAACACACTCTCACACACAGCACACTGGCACTCAAACATCAACACACTTTCACACTCTCTCTCACAACACACTCGCTCTCAAACATCAACACACTATCACACTCTCTCACAACACACTCGCACTCAAACATCAACACGCTTTCACACTCTCTCACAACACACTCGCACTCAAACATCAACACGCTTTCACACTCTCTCTCACAACACACTTTCACACTCTCTCTCACAACACACTCGCACTCAAACATCAACACACTTTCAAACACTCTCTCACAGCACACTAAAAACATCAACACACTTTCACTCTCTCTCTCTCACAACACACTCGCACTGAAACATCAACACACTTTCACACTCTCTCTCCCGTCACACTCGCACTCAAACATCAACACACTTTCACATACATGTGAACACGCTCTCACACACACACATACATCAACAGTTCTCAAGACTATCAAGACTCTTTTCTCAAACATGATAAGATAAGCACAATTCCTGTGTGTAAATAACTTATGTAATGGGGGTCAGCTAGGTATAAGATAGTTTTAGTATTTTAGAAGAAACTTCCTCTTGTGCCATGTTACCTATCTTTGCTGTTTATGTCTCAAAGATTCTATTGTATGTGTTTGTCTGTATCTTTGCAGGAATGCTCTCAATATTGTGAAAGACGACCTCATTGCCAAGGTGGATGAGCTGTCCAGGTAAGTGCAGCTCTGCATTATGCAGGAGAGAGGCTGTGTTTGTTTTCTCAGCCATATTGCTTTGCTGTCTTTATTTGGTTGTTTTGTTTTAAAAATGTATTTGATGGAAGAGCTGGGTTACTTGATACTTTTGTTGCGGTTGTTTTGTTATTGAGTGGGTTCGAAAAATTGTCACAACGAAAAGTAAGGTGATTTAGGTTTGGGTCACAAATGGGCGGTCATCATTTGAAGATGTTTTGTGGTTTCTGTGTGACGTTACTCTTTGCTACGTCATTTTTCTGCTCTGAAATAGAACGGGCAGTTGGTGGGTGCTCAGATGTCTGCTATTTCTGGTTCTTAACTGTGTATTTTTGCTCTAGTCTTTGTTTGTTCTTGTCCCCATGTATCATGCTGATCTGGCACGCACTACAAGTCAGTGTATCAGTTTTAACATTTGTCTATCTCGCTGTCTGCAGTGAGCAGGAGATTCTCCGAGAGGAGATCACGTCTTTGCAAGCGGTTAAGAGCCGGCTGCAGCTGAGAATCACCCAGCTGGAAGATGAGCTGAAGAAGGTGAAGGAGGAGAATGATAGAAAGAAAGAACATACAGAGAAGACAGAGGAAGAGGTAAGTTGAACCAGTGTGTTGGTAGTTGTTGCGAGATGTTGTTGATAATGTGACACTAATCTAGCGAACTCAGGCATATATATATATATATTGCCTTTTCTTTCCTCATCCTTACTATCGTCCTTTTTTCCTCTACTTCTTTTGTATGTTTGTCACTCTCTTGTGAACTGCTATTTCCGGGATGTCTTGATAGTGGAAGTAGACTTTGTGCTGTTGAGGCTAGACAGGTGAGCGCATGTATTTTTTTCTTGGTTGATGGGTGCTCTGGTGTGGTTTGCTTCTTCTTTCCTATCAAACGTCTATCGTCTTTACTCTCTTGTAACACCTCTAATCTTCGGCACTTCTATGACCTTATTGTGTTGCAAGTGCCATAAAACTCTAACTAAAACTTTAAAAAACTAAACAAACCCTCCCAGCATGACGTGCCAATGTTCTTCTCTATACTCAAACAAACAATGTGGTTGGTTGGTGGGTGCTCTGGTGTGGTTTGCTTCTTCTTTCCTATCAAACGTCTATCATCTTTTTCTCCTCCCTTCTTTTTTGTGTTTGTTACTCTCTTGTAACACCTCTAATCTTCGGCTCTTATATGACCTTATTGTGTTGGAAGTACCGTAAAACTCTACTAAAACTAAAAAAACTAAACAAACTACCAAACATTTCTCCTCCCAGGATGACGTGCCGATGGCCCAGCGCAAGCGGTTCACGCGTGTGGAGATGGCGCGGGTGCTGATGGAGCGCAACCAGTACAAGGAGCGGCTGATGGAGCTGCAGGAGGCCGTCAGGTGGACGGAGATGATCCGAGCCTCGCGGGAACACCCCGGCGAGTTGCAGACGCAGAAGAAGAAATCCACCGTCTGGAACTTGTGAGTAGGAACCTTTTTGTGGAGGGACGTGCCTTTTTGTGTTTGTGGTTTTTTTGTTCGGGATCTCTGTGTTTGTGTTGTGGGGGGGGTGTGTGTGTTTTGTTTTTGTGTGTGCGTGTGCATGTCTGTTCGTTTTGTTTTTGTTGTCTTGTAAGTTGGGACTTATCATATTAGTTTGTTTTTTCTCCAGGCGAAAGGGATGTGTGTGTGTCTGTCTGTTTTGTTTTGTTGTGGGAGTAGGACTGTTGATAGACACGTGTATTTGTATCTCCATTTGTCCTCTCTTCTGCTTGTCTGTTGCTTTCTTGTGTAGAGCTAAATTATAGATGTCTTTTCTCTGCTTGTCTTGCGTGTTTAGAATAGGGTGCGGAGAAGGGGAACATACATTTTTTAGCATTTTATTAGCAAAAATGAGAAATCATATTTTTTTTATACTATGTTTCTTCTGAAGGTCGACTCGTTTAACTTAACTACCTTTGTTTCCAATAATGATACTTTTGCTGTAAGTTGTCTCCCCATATTATTTTGTTTAGAACATTTTCGCGAAGCTTAATTTTACTAAGTTTTGCACACGGTAAGCGCTGGCTCAGTTTTTGCTGAAGCATGTCTGTTGTCACGTTGTGCTGTTTGAAAATGTCAATGGTGTGGTAGGTCCAACTTCTTTACTATCCATGATTTTCACATCTTTCTCTTTTGCTCTTTTCCAGCATGAAATGGGTCTTATTATGTCTGTGTTTTTGTTTTTTTATTTCCCTTATAGCTTTACTGTTTCCAGCTCTCCTGTCTCATCTCAATTTTTTAAAATTTTAATGATTGAGATTTATGTCAAGCCTGAAAGTCATAATTACACTTGTAACAAGGTATTTTTACTGCACATATTTTGTTTTCAAGCTGAGACTTTACCCTTGGTGTTTTTCACCTTTTGTCTGTGTCTTGATTGTGTCAGAATAAAGAGTGGTGTCGGTGGCCTAGTGGTAAGGCGGGGGGGGGTTTGAGCTTCAGCTCTTGGGAAAGACACTTTACACGAATTTCATGTGTGGCTCGGTCCTTTTGGAGAGGGACGTTAAATTCGTGAGGTCCCGCCTCTTAAATAACCAAATAGTGTTGATAGGTTACTGTAAATTTATTTTATAAAAGTGAAGGTTCAGATTGTGGGTGGTTGGTGGGCAGCACGTAAGGTCTTGTTTCTCTCCTTTCATTTCCATTTATTGTTTGTGTCTGTCTGGATGGCTTTTTTCCTATGGCTGACGGACCATCATTGTGTCGATGTGCGTCTCCTTTTCTCCTTACTCATACGACCGATTGGAAGATTTAGGTTGTGTCCCTCTTTTTGTCACTGAAGAGTGTAGGATTCTTTTTGTTTGTGGTGTCTAAAATGTTTGTGCTTTGCTTCGTGTGTCGTTGACTGAGACTGATAGTTTCAGATCACTGTTAGTTTTATTGAAAAGAAAGAAATTTAGAGATGGTGGGTTGATTTTTTCTGTACTGTAGCCTTTGCTTCGAATATTTACTCTGCATTACATTTATAAAGTAAGTAAATTGCCGTTCTGTGTGTGTGTTTGGGGCGTGGGACAAACCGTAAATGAAGGGAATGTTACTGTCAGCAAGATGTCAGTGTGCAGGCGTGTCAGGTTGTCAGTGTATGGGCATGTCGTGTAAATGTGCTGTCTTTTTGTGTTTGTTTCACTATGTCTTGATCTCTTTGAAAAGTTTTGATGTGTTTGGGTTTTTTTTGTAGTTTGGTGGGTGTATGCCCTGTTTTGGTCATATATTTGAGTTTTGTTTTTGTTTTTGCCATCTTTGCTTCCTGTGGGTAGTGGGTGGGTGCTCTGGTGGGGTTTGCTGATTGTTTGTGTAGTCTGGTGTCCAATCTATTCTAAACGTTCTGTAAATGTCTTTCTCAGTTTGCAGCACGGCTGGGCAGTAGTGGGTTGATACTGCTTTTCCTGTTAATCTAAGTGAAGCGAGAGACCCTCAGGACATGTCTTTTTCATTATCTTTTTTTTTATATATTGAATGTTTGTTTTTTTTTTTTTTGGAAAAAAGGTCTTCAGAGATATTACAACGGGTTGAATGAGTGCTGACCACACATGTTCATCTCCATTTCCACAGCTTTGTGAAACACATTGGCCGTATCTGAGCTACGGTGTTTACATTGTAATTTTATGAGACAATTGTGTAGAATTGAAAGAGGGCCTGATTAAACGAAAAAGATTTTTCTTTCTTTTTTTTTTTTTCTTTTAACTCAAAGTACATGTAGGTCTTTTAGACCAGTTTTTCCCCCCTTTCTCCCTATGTGTCTGAGTTGAGTTTCGACTGGTTCAGGTAGAGAATTATATATTTCAGAACAAAAATAATGTCAGTTTCATGTTCTAAAAGGAAAAAACCTTGAAATTAGAAAAAAATTTTAGGGGGGAGGGGGTAATTTCTTTTTATTTAAATGATAATAAGTACAAATATGGAGTCTTTTCTATCTTTTTTTGTTGTTTGTCATAAATGTTTCAAAGCCTATAAATCTTGTGGCCCAGGGTGAAAATCAGCATCCGGATCAGGCAATCTCAGTCAGCTATTTTAGTTTCCATTCCATGTCAAGTAAAAAAAAATTCATCAGTGTTTGTAACATGTGTTTTGTCAAAAGTGGGGACCCTTCTTTCTCTTGTTGATTTTTCTTTACTGTTTTATTAAATACATTGTCCCCCCCCCCCCCCCCCCCCCCCCCCAAACCGTTACTCCACTCCCACTTTTCCAGAAAAAGCATTTAAATTTGTTTCTGTTGTCTGGATTTCTTCATGTCAGTCTTTCAAACGCTAATTGACTCTACGCTCTCCCCTTTTTTTCTATCTACAGACAGTGAAAAAACCCAATTTAATTTTTAAAAATTGTTTGTTGTCTTGAATCTTTCAATCTTTAAAACAAATGATGACTATGCTCTGCCTCACCCTCTGCTTGTTTCTGTTGGCTATCTTGTTGTTTTGGTTTTTTTCGCACTTAATGGAATTGAATGCCCTGCACTTTGTTTTTGTAGGCAGAGAGGAGACGCTCCTCACTAGAGGTTTAGTAGTGCCTAGTGTCTTGTCGCTTTGGTCTTTGAACTAACTGTTGTGAGTGGGTGGTTGGCCGGTGCTCTGGTGTGGTTTGCTTCTACTTTCCTTTCAAACATTTGTCATCTTTATCCCCCCTCCTTCTTTTTCGTGTTTGTTACTCTCTTGTAACACCTCCAGTCTTCAGCACTTAAATGACCTTATTGTGTTGCTAGTGCCGTAAAACTCTTACTAGAACTAAACTAACCGTTGTGATGTTTGCCCCCCCCGCCCTCAGCTTCAGCGAGCTGGTGGCCCCCTCCCACCCCAACCCCACCCCCGCCTCTTCCAGCCTCAAACAGATGCCGGCGCGACACAGGAACGTGATCCAATCCGTGCTCAATCGTTCCGCGCACCACACACCAGCCGCCACGCCCTCATCGTCTTCCTCCGGCGTCTCTTCCGACTCCCCCGCTTTCCCTTCTTCTTCCTCTTCTTCCTCCTCCTCGTGGTCTGACGCTCCCCCGTCCTCCCCGCCAGCGCCCCCTGTGTCCTCCGTCACGCTAGTCCCGTCCCCCAGCGGTAGCGCCATCTCGCACCTGCCCCACGTGACCCTGTTCCCCCCTCCCGAGGCCCCGGCCCTGACCACGACCCAGGAGTCCCCTGTCCCCGTCCCGGTCTTGATACCCTCGGAGCTGGCTCACCTGACCTCTGAACTCTCGCACCTGCCCCCGACCCCTTCGGGCGCCCCGCCCCCGACACTGATCCCGATGGTGTCGTCGGACGTGGTTGTCCCCCCTTCCCCCTCCCACACCAACACCCCGTCCCGCCCCACGTCTAGTCTGCCCGGTATGCACCCACGGTCGGAGGAAGACCACCCTGTTAGACACTTATAGCAGCCCCCCTCCCCTCACCTCCCCTTCTAGTTGACTGTCCCCTGAGAACATCAATCATCAGATGATCCTAAAAAACAATTTTAACCTTTGAAGGTTGTTCACAACTAAATATGTTTTTCTATAATATTACTAGTTGTAAAGTCAGTGGGTTTTTTGAAGAAGGTACGATCTCAGTCTTTGAATTTGAGGGGTACTCTCCCCTGAGAACATCAATCACCAGATGATCCTAAAAAAACAATTTTACTCTTTGAAGGTTGTTCACAACTAAATATTTTGTTCTATACACTAGTTGTGCAAGTCTGACCTCGGACTCACACGTGGAGGGTTTTTTCAAGACGGTATGATCTCAAGTTTTTTAAAATTTGAGGGATATTTGTCCCTTTGAAGACTTAATGGATTAAATTATGACTGTCGTTGGATATCAGTAACTGGTACAAAACCGGTGAAATGGTGCCTGCACACCTTAAACAAGAATTGAGTGTGAAAGTTGGTGCTAGTGAAAGGTGCAGCTCTTTGGTCTGTTAGGTTGGCTCGTTTAAAGTTGAAAGATATGAAAGATATTGAGATTTTACCAACACACGTTCATCTCTTTTCTAAGAATTTAGTGACCCTGAATTAAAAAATTTCCCCAGAAATAAATGGGTGGTTTTATTTAGTAGGCTTGTCCCGTGATAGGTCAGGGAATCTTCTATCCTTTCTGTCACTGCTCTCTGTTTACTGTCTTGCCCCTTCTCAGAGCTGCTCGAGGTTTTTTTTATGGTGATTGCCATTCGTGTTACAAAAGTGATGCCTGTGCTGATGATGATGGCGAGGCTGGTTGTGGTGAGCGGAAGGACAACCTTCTACATTGTGCTCGACTTACAATGATTGTGTTAACCAAAAAGTTTTTGTGATTTTTTTCCCAGTCTATTATGGTCTCTGTCGCAGAAATAATGTGTAACTCCCTAATGTTTTTGTTCACTTTATGCTTTATTGAGGTTAATCATTTTTTTTCTGCGACATTGACCTTATGATTGTTGCGTTGTTTGATGACAGACATTATGCTCGCTGCATAGATGGGTGGGTGTTTGTTAGCGTGTGTGTGTTTGGGTGTGTGTGTATATGTGAGCATGTCTAAAAGTGATTTCTTTTCAAATCTTGTGACTGGAAGATTGAGGGACGTCTGTTTTGCAGATATTGTTGAACTTATTGTTATTGGTGTAGTTTGCACACTACGTGTGTGCGTTTGAGTGAAAACTGCAGACAGGAATGTACTAACTCAGTCTGCCCAGTCTTCTTGGGTTTGATCCACAATGGATGCAGTTGTTTTATTAAGTGTTTAGCAGCAGAACGAAGGCAGCAGGCACTAAAAGGTTGAGGCGCTCACTCGTGTTTGAACTCTCAAGCTTTTGCGCCATAATTAGATGAAATAACGAATCTGTGCACAAGAAGAAATGGAACTCAATATTTTATAAATGTTCTATTGCATTGGACAAAAATGCATGATATCCGACTTAATCAGTTGTAGCAGCGCTACAAAGGAAATAAATCTCCTTAGCATAATGAGCCATCAGACATGATTATCCCATCTGCATCTCCCCAATTCACCCCCTCATATACTGCTGTCTCATGGTCTTTAGATGTCTAACAGTTGAACATTTTCTCTCCACCCCTCTATTTCTGCTGTTCTGAACTTGACTCCAGAGCAAGAATGGGGCAGTAAGTGACATTTGAATATTACAAAGGCATGTGTTGTTCCTCACCTCATTTTTGTTCTTCATTTTTTTTTTTCAGTGTTTTTTTTTTTTTTCTTTTTTAAAATCCTATAGAAAGCACAGTTTATATTTTGGTTCTCCCTTTCTCATTGCCCAGTTTAGGAAACCAACGATGAGGTAAATTTCAAGTGAAATTCTAGGAAATTCAAGTCGGTGAATCGGATAAACACCAAAAGGGATGAGAAACACCATAGAACTAAAAAAAGAAAGTTGAATAAGTTTTTATAATGCTGAAAAGGAGAAAATTACAAATGTGTACGATGGCAAACTGAAAGCTGTGTTTTCCTTTTGAAATATTTGGCGGGTGCTTAATTAACGAAGGGGCGAAATGTTGTAGAAAGTAATAGTTACACTCTGCCTTGTAATATTGAAATGTTTCTGTAATGTTTCTGATTATTTTCTCAAATCCCAAAAAGGTATTCACTTGTAAGGGCTATACAAAGATAGCTGGAAAGGGGGGATGTCGTGTGGGAGGGGGGGGATGTTTTCCCTGAGGTAGTATCTCCCATAGAGATCCCTTAGTACATGTTTCTATAGATCTGATCTAGCTGTTGGATGTGGTGTCTGGACATGTGTGTGTGAGTATGTTACGGTGTAGCTCGTATTCCTGGAAGGCTTGCAGAATGTTTCTCTCTTTCTCTATGTTTCTTCTTTTTTTTCGTGTTCGGATCCGACCATCCAACTCTTTTTCTTGATGGTCTTTATTGAGTAGGGAGTTTTTCTTCCCATCAGTGTAAGGAACTTGATCTTTTCTGTTAACTTCGTGTTTTTAATATACGTATTATTTGTGTTGTTTTTTAAGGTTTTTTAAAAATTTGTGTTTATAACTCTGTTGTTGAGTTGTGAGTAGCTGCCCTATTTCAACATGTAGCGTAGATGCCTCATATCGTGGAGGTGTGGGGTTTGAATGAGGTTTAGGAGTTTTTGGTCCCTAAGTTTTTTACTTGGTGGCTCCATGCCGGCGTGGCTTCTTAACTCACTTAATCCCGTGACCGAGATCATCTCGGCCAGGTTGCGGGCTGCGTTCAATCCCACGACGGAGATAAGTCGGTTCTATAGTTTTGTTCCGTATACTAGTACTAGTTTTTTTCGTTTAGGAAAACGGCTTCAAGTTTATATGAGGTCAATTTTTTATTTCCCCGGCCAATTCTGCCTAGAGGGGTGTTGGAATTTTGTTTCTACTGTCTTTGCACACGGAAAAATCGCAGTTTTTATGAAGGCACTTTCAGCACTTTTGTGCACATTGATCAGCTGAGCATGTCTCGCAATCGATTCTCTTCGCCTTTCTCACACGTCCTTTTTTAAAATTCATGCAAGTATTCAACAGTCTTTATTATACATGACATACAATATTATATAGATCTGGAAACTTACAAGCATATTTGAATATATCAATGTAGGCTTGCTCTTGCTCATTCGGCTATGAAAAAAAAATTATAAGCCCCAAAAATGCCAACTCTGTACAACACCGGAAAGCAAAATTACTAAAGCTACGTACTTCAAATTTAGTTGTCTAAAGATCCATCTTTTGTTGTATACTTTGTGCCAAATTTTAAAGCTATTAGATTATATTTATAGTTACTTGTGAGCCCTTACATAAGTAAATTCCAAAATGACCGGTTTTTGGGTACAGTTTCGGGATAAACTCCCAGGAGTGAGTTAAGCATGTCACAAGAGGTGTTTCAAACTCTATTGGTTTTGCTAAGATTTATGAATCAAAAGAGCGTGCAGGTTATGTTAGTTGTTTTTTTTTCTCGAGCTAAATGTGAGAATGCTCATCATAGTCAACAATCTCCCTGTGGTAGTGGTAAGGACGACTTTGTGTGAGCTGGGCATAATTTAGTGCACGTTTGGTGCCCATGTTTTTATGTGTGTGTGTGTGTGTGTGTGTGTGTGTGTGTGTGTGTCGGAACCTCTTTGCATCCCTTTCTTTGGTGGGGATGTCACGGAAGAAGACTGGCACCTCTTGGTACAACTAAGAAATACGTTTTTATGATCTGGAAGAGAAAGAAAATGGAAATTTCTGTTAGATGGTTTTCAGGGCAAAAGTGAAACCCGTCTTTAAATGAGTGATTGCACAATATGAAGTCCTGATATCATCAAATCTCTACGACACAGCGCATCCCAAGCTTGAAGGCTCTCTAACCTCTTAGTTTAGTTTAGTATGGGGTTTTACGTCGCTCGCAACTGCATACGGTCGTATGGGTGCGTGGAACACAAGTTAGTTTTATTCGCAACAGTTCACTGTATGGCTGGGCTCGGTCAATAGTTAGATCTTAAAATGTTAAACTATTTAAAATTCGGTGTTAATATATTTTTTCAATCTAAAACAGCTTTCCTAAATAACATTCAAATTTTTAATAATTTAATTTCACTCTATAATTTCCCAGAAAGGCCCATGGCCTTCATAAAATCTAAAATTCTGTTGGGACTCTCAGTGTTGTTGCTAGACCAGGAAGATTAGTTGTCATGATAGCATGAGTAGGCATTATCACTTAACTGTGTGTGTCGTACTGGGGAGGTGAGGGGGGGGGGTGTGCCTCCAGTGTCATGTTCCTCCTCAGTCCAGTTGGCGGTGAAGGATCTGTCATGGAGTGTTCTATTCAGGAGGTTTTGTTTGCTTTTTATTAGGTGGAGAGGGGTGGAATCTAGCATGTTCTATGATGATATTACAGTGTTATAATCCCTGCCCCCTATCCGTCTTCTTGTATTTGCATAATCAAATATAGAATGCAGATATCAAAACTGTTTTCCTTCCCAGGCTAGCGTATTGTTCTTAGTTACCTATTGTCATTCATTCTCTCTTCTGTTTTGTCTCCTCAAATGGCCATATTTTTAAACTTCCTTTCCATTTATGCACAAAAGTTTACCCCCTATATCTTTACCAGTGTGAAATATTTGTGTACTTTTCATCTGATTAGAATAACTCAATTTTTTATGGCGATATGTGCCCATTTTTTTCCCTGATTTGTCGGTATTTTCTCCAAAACTGCTCTGTGTCTTTATGGTTGTGCTTCGTTCAAAATGGTGGAACTTTCGCCTTGTGAGGAAAAGTAAATACTATATACTATCCCTCTCTTATTCTGTTATGGCTACCTCGATGGCGGAATGATGAATACTGAAATATTTTATTTCTTTGACTCTGTTGTTTTGGGTATTTCTTGAGAATGTCCCAGTTGATCTATCACCTGTCTTGTTTTGTGGGGGTGGTAGGTGGTTGCCTTTTTAAAAAAAATGGTTTTCTGCAAACACTTCTGGACAGGGTTCACTTTTTCCTTGTCTGTTAATGGCGACCTTTTCCTTGTCTGGTACTGGCGATCTTTTCCTCGTCTGTTACATGCGAAAGGTGGCTGCTATCATGCTGTGTCGCCTTACACTGGCGATCTTTTCCCTGTCTGTTATTGGCGAGAAGTGGCTACCTATCTGCTATCGTGGTGTGTCGCCTTACTTTATCCAGGAATAAGTGGAAACGTTGTGCTGTGTATTAGCAGTTGAATAATCATGTCTGATGTTAGTTAATGAATTGTGTAAATATGTTTTATAAAGTTCCGTTGGTTCGTTCATTCAGTAGTAGTATCATGCTCTGTCCCCAAACCGTGTGTTCATTGGCGTGACTGTAGGAAGTGTGCTGTGTCCGCCAAGCCTTGTGTGTTCGACATCGAAGAAGTGGTCTTGTTTATTTGCCATGCTAATGTTATGACCCGATATATTAGTTCTACGTGTGTGTTGACTTTGTTGTTGTTTCTCTCTCCTCTTACTTACCAAATACTTTCCTTTGCATGAGTTAATGTGTACTAAGTTTCCACTGTGATATTACAGATTTTTGTAAATTTTCTGTGGGTGGTTGATGGGTGCTCCAGTATGGTTTGCCTCCTCCTGTCCTGTTATCCAACTTCTATCATTGTCCTTATCGCTCTTCGTTCTTTTCTGTTTCTGTGTATGTTAGTACTGTCTAGTAACAATTCTAATCTTCAACATTTATGTTTCCTTTTTGCTTATATGACCTTATTGTGTTGCAAGTGCGGTAAAACTTTTACTACTCCTTCCCTATCAAACATCTATTGTCCTGATCTCTCCTTCTTTTTTGTGTTTTTTGCTCTCTTGTAACACCTCTAATCTTCGGCACTTCTATGACCTTGTTGTGTTTCAAGTGCTGTAAAACTCTTACTAAACGTTTGTCATGCACACTGACACAGTGGCTCAAACTACCAGGGTATTTCCTCACAAGAAGCATGGGGTTGAATGTGTTACATTTTCTGCATGCTGTTGTTCTCTTCCAGCAGCGCACAGCTCAGACAGAGGTTGTGAATGG